TTCTGGCGAGTCCAAAATATTGTGAGATTATGCCGCGGTATAATTAGTACTTCAACCTCACCTAATTAACCCTTCCTAATTGAAAACGCACCTAAGAATAGGTCACTGCCTGTATGCTAGTAGCTGTCCTAAACAGAGTTTGATCATCTGTGCGCGTTTTTCTTTAAGAGAAGAACAACTCGAACTTGACAATTCTACTGAACAGAATTTGCTACATCAAAAAATTGGCTTTTACCAAACGTTGATTGTGGAGGCATGTTACGACCAAAGAGACTGTTTTTAGGAAACCAAACGTTTTTTTCTTTTTTTTAAAGGCTGATTTGTAAGTATATCTGATTTCGTGTCCAAACTTACGGTAGTAGAGCCTATATGTAATCCTTTGTTTAGACGTGTCGATCCAAAACAAATAATATGTGTGCAATTATCGAGCGGACCTGCATTTCCACTGGAGTGATGTGTCATTGCGTTACTGGCGGCAAGCGAACTGCATCAGCGGGGTGTGCGGTTTCGAGATTTTGGTGTTTTCGCGGGAAGAGGCAGTTGGGTAAAATAGACCAGGATAAATGTCAATTGTGTGGAGGTGGTTTCTTGCACGTATGACTGTCTGCAAAAGGACGCAGGTGATCTCACTGTTTTGCAGGAAACCGACTGTGAGGAGATGACTGTGTATCAGGGGTCGTTTAGATCTGATCAGCGCAACATGAGTGCATTTCCATTTCAACGGTAAATGAGTCCTAAGCGTCGGCACAATGTACACGTAAGGCTCGTCACAGAGTTAACAAACTAGGCAATTAACGTTCTTATCGATGGAAGTGTCAAGATAACTGCAGTATTTGACCCAACACACGAAACGTGGTAGTGGGAACTGATATGGTAATTTCCATCTGCTTAAATCTTTAATATTTTGCTCATCCGTCCACCTCCTGTGGAAAATGCGGTCGGTAAAAATGCCAATCATATATATGCATATGTCCATTTAATTGTCGATGTGCTTATAAATTCAGACATATTTTGCAGAAAACATGTACAAAAATGTGTTAAACGTTATTTGTTATTTAGAAACTCACACCGTCTTCACATGTTATACCCGAAGAAGGGACATCTTTTGACTATAAATGCTTCCAATAATGTGCTTTTTAAGACCTTCCAATGTTTATGAAAAGAGCTTCGCACCTTTACTTTATCAGTGCTCTTCATGAAACATATGACCTATTTCGCATTCATTGCCAAATTCCATGAACTCAGAATGGTACCTTCTTAAATACATAAAGGAATGTATGATGTTTCCCACGCGGAAAGTAGAAACTTCGTAGACTGAATTCATCAAATGCTAATGAAACGGCTGAAATGGCTCATAATTATTCGGGAAATGGAAAACGTTTTCCAGAACTAAATATACCCATTCTTTGAATAGTTAAATGCCAGGATGAAGTGATTTTCTGCCAATGATTAAAAAATAGCATTTTCAAGAGAGCTTTCTGTAAAATGCATTGAAATTTATGAGGGCATCGAAAATCGATGTGAAAATGCATACGGCATAAGTCATCACCTATTACCGGGTCTCAAAGAATCGCATTCAAATGCCAACATGTTGGCTTGTCCGAAATATTGTGGGATTATGCTGCGGAATATTTAATATTACAAATCCACCTAAGTGCTACATCTTAATCGGAAACTCATTTCAGAATCGGTCACTGACTCCATGTTACTAACAGTCCTAGACTTAGACTGAGCACCTGAGCGCGTTTTTCTTTAAGAAAAGAATTATTCAAACTTGAAATGTTTACCGAGCAGAATTTGCCACATTCAAAAACTGACTTTTATCGAGCGCTAATCGAGGGACTATGTTGTTACTAAAGACAGTGTTCTTAGGAATCCAGATGTTTTATCGATTTTTTGAGATCAGATATGCAAATACGTGTTATTTCGTGCCTTAACGAGCAGTACTTGCATACATATGTGACTCATTTTTAAACGTGGCGATAAATAACATTGAACATGCCATTGTGGTCAACCGGCTAAACATACTGCAAATCCTTGGGTACTCACCGACATTTCAAGGACGCTCTGATACCCAGCAGATTCGCCGGTGGGAAAAACGCGAATAACTTTGACCGAAGAAACGTCCCCTTAATATAGAGGGGCGTTCGCTGAGCATAGGTAATATTCCTGATCACAATCGACAGGACCACGAGCACGTGGCTCATTTGCAGAGCGTTCGGCTAAATGACCAAATATCCCGGGTTGGAAACCCAGGTGGTTCACACAAGGGATTGGGCTCATGACGGCTAGTAAAACAGAAATCGGTCACTCACTGTATACGTGTTTACGCCTGCTAACCCTCGGTATGGTAAAACAAACTACGCTGAACCGACTTTACTACTGCATTTTGTGGCAAAGAGTCACAAATTTGCACAATGTAATTTTCAAAGACTGATTAGTTCCATTTCTTTTTTGGAAGCAATGCGATTTTACCTACCTGAATCCGCTGACTTTCGTGTACGCAAAACCTCATTTTCCGTTCCCAGATGGGATCCCCTTAAAATTATATTGCTCATATGAATGGTCTTTATAGAACAACGCGTAAAACGGGAATGCCCTCTTTACCACACAGGACAGACGGAACGAGGACTTAGCTCACGAATAACGGAGCATAAACGGGCGGTCCGGAGAGGCGACCCGTCGTCTCAGGTCGCCCCTCACACCCTGGAGGAAGGCCACGAATTCAACTTCGCGAGCACGCGAATTGTAGCGCGGGCCAACAATAAGACAGGACAAGAACGGTTAGAGGCTTGGGTGTCTGACAACAACTCTATCAACAGGCACGTTGACATACCCCCTGCTATCACGCGCTCCGTTTCCGCGGCCATGAGACGAGACCCAATTTCCAGCCAAGGGTGCACGCAGTCACGCCACCGTGAGACGGCGTGGGACTCAACTTATCGCGAATACCACCCTCTGAACTCATATCTCTCCCCCCTTTCATAGCTTGACTACAAAAACCGCTCATTTGATGCCGCATTCTCACAGTCTCTGACGATGGCCTCCTGTACGAGACCGAAAGCTCAGACTAATACACCTATTGTCTCAGAGATCGTGTGTTAATCTTCTTAATGTACGTTGTACGATGTCTTTTTAAAGGCATAAAAGGATATGTTATTTTGTTTAAGCGGAACGCATGCATCTTGTAGACTGAAATCAATAAGCGAAAATGCAGCGAATGATCAGGCTCCAAATTATTCGGTAATTGGAAAACTTGTTTAAAACTTAATTATACACCATCTTCAAGCAAGCAATATAAAAGTGATGTAATTCTCTATTAACCGACCGAATGAAAACTTATTTTTCTTTGTGGTTTCTGTGAAATATATTTGAATTTTCAAACCATCGAAAATCAGTGGGAAAAATCCATGCTACCTAAGTGGTTATTTTTTATCGAGTACGATTTCTACAGGAACTTGGAAAGCAGTATATTCAAAAGCTGATATCTTGCCCAGTCTGAAATATTACGGGACTATGCCGCAAGATAATCAATAGTACAACCGCCCCTAAGTAATCCTTCCTAATCGAAAATGCATTTCAGGATTTCAGCCAACATTTCATGAGATCGGTTACTCACTGTATACTTGTTTACGCCTACTAACCCTCGGTATGGTAAAAACAAAAAAAACAAACTAAACCAAGTTTATTACCGCATTTTCTGGCAGAGAGTTACAAATTTGCATAATATGATTCTCAATGACTTATACGTTTTATGTCTTTTTGGAAGCAATGCGATTTGACGTACCTGAATCCGCCTGACTTTCATATACGCAAAATCTCATTTTCCGTTCCCAGATGGGATCTACCCGAAATTATAGAAGAAGCATTGACATGCGATGCTAAATAACGTTGGAAACGTCCGATTTCGCCTCTTTTCCTTCCATAAAACAGATCCGAAATGAATTCTTCTTTAGTAAAAGTATTCAAACAGCAAAGGTAACCACACCAAATGTATGCGGCACTGCCCTCCCAGTTGCCGGTCGCACCATTGTATGAGTTAGGTTATCTACTGCACCTACTACCTAATATATAGTAGTGTTGTGTGGTGTACTTGAATTTGTACGCTCATTTGAATGTCTTTTGAGACCAGCCTGCCTGCCAGACGCTCACTTTCGGGACAATTCGGTCGCGAGTCGTTGCATCAACTCAAATGTCTCAGAGGGGCACATACCGGTTACGCTGTTCCATCTACCCAACTCATGTAAGATGCTGTCTTCCGTCAAACAAGCTGGGAAACTCTTCACGTCTGTCTTCTGTGAACTCCTATCTGACCTGTGTGCACGTTGTTCCACATCTTCTTTATTCTTTCCTTCACCCTCCTGAAATAGACTTTGTTCAGTCGGCTGTTTTCTTTGCCCTTGGGAGTGAATGTAACCCTTGTTGCTTAAAATCCTTCCAAAGCACGCTTCTGAACCGCATTGGCGAACGCAGGCTCTTTGCTGGCCAGAGTCAGGCGATAGGTTCGGCCCACTCCTTTTTATGAGTATGAGTATCGACTGTCGAGGTTTGTACGTCACTCACTTCTGAGTATTAGTAAATCAGGCGTTGAATTTGGGATTAGGGAGTATAACAATAACCGCTAAGTCCTAACTCTAACCTAACCCTTCTAACCCTAAGCCCTAATCGCCACACCCACCCCTAACCATAACCCTAGCCCCTAAACCTAACACCTAACCCAAAACCTTAATCCTAACACCCACCTTAACCCCTAGCCCCTAATCCTAACCACTGGCCCTAACCCCTAACAGGTGAGGCTACGAAATAGGATATGACCGTGTTTTTCCAATATGGGCCTGAGCTTTCGGATTTGAAAATAAGTTGTAAACGGCAATTCCTGACGAGAATTTTTTGACCAATTTGAATAGTACAAAGAAAACCTTCACACGAGAGAATGAAAAAGGTACGTTCTATGAAGTGACAGGGCCACATCCGGCCTTCAATTTCTACGTCGACGATTTTCAAAGGTGGCCTCCAAGAGTTACCACCAGCAACACGATAGCTCCAAGACAACGTGCTAAAAAATGAAAGCATGCACAATTAAATCAGGCTAACTTTGAACTCTGGCATAGCCAACAGCTGGGAACATAATTCTTGTTATCAAAGTAAAGACAGTTACAATGAGGACAAGAGCGAACAGTTATTTATTTCCACAGAGGTAGATAGGATCACATTGAAATTAACTCTTACCCGTCAGACGCCTTGCATCGGAAGTCGTATGCGCAATCGTCATATCTGGTTGCTGTCTATCATCTGACCTGTTCCCCTGTTTCGGCGGCGCAACTGAAGAGTGCGGAAAGGTGAAATTCGTGAGATAAGACACTGTTAGAACTGGGGACAGGGAAACGTCCCCACAAGTCTGCGGACGCAGAACGCAGAGGGTTTTCCCAATTCTCGAAAGACATACCAACAAAAATGATTAAATAATATTCCTGCAGTACTGAAGATGAAAACTCACAAAGTCCTAAAGTAAAAAACAAAGTTAAGGATACGAGAGCACTAGGATATGATGGAAGAAGAAATACTATCGCCGGCTCGACAAAAATGCAGGCAAAATGATCACAAGAGCGAGACTAGGAATGAGAAGACATGCTATGCTTTCGATGAGATCACATATGAGCAGGCCTATGGCGACCAGATGCCTCTACCAAATCACATGATTCTCCCCGTCCTGCATTGGCAATGTTAGGCGCAAAATACTGAGGCCTGTACATGAAATGTAGATTTCTGAAAGGCTGGGTCAAGAGAAACGCCAGATCACCGGCTCACTCCATCTGCTCGACCATCGCATCCGACGTTGTCTACCGGAACAGATCAGAACAGGGACAGTGAGCTGCGCGTGAATTAGTTTATAGCAGACGTATGCTCGCCAAATTGCCTTTTGAATTTTACAATGGGTTTTACCAAATCAAGCTGACTTCTACATTGATGTGCTATAGTTGAATTACAGCGTTTTGCGGGATGGCGCTTTAGATAAGTCATTTGGCCACCTTCTTAAAAGCAAACAACTGCAAATCGTTAATTACGATAGCAAAATCTCGTGAGTTTCCTCCGTGTCTACGATAACTCGCGTGGAATTATACGTTTTCCGCGCGTGCCTCAACCTCTTTAAACTTTGTAACATAATACGCTAAATAGAAAGATGTCAATGGTATTTCGACCGTTGTATACGAGGTTGTCTAGCCTGTGCTCCGCAGCTAATAAGAGGAGATGCGGTGACTTGGGCGTGAATTAGTTCAAGGTGGTAGACTTGCACAGCATCCATCGCACTCACGCCTGGACCCGGTGCCATGGCCAAGTCGGGAAGACCGGAGATGGCTGGCACGTCGAAAACCCTCATTTAGGCGTACTACCGCATGCCCTGATCTACAAAAAGCTCTTGGCCAGGATATAAGCCAACAACACCGACGACGACGGGGATGGGGGGACGACAGGCGCCTCAGGTGGCGCGGAATGAGTCAGCAACCTGACCTGCCACCGCTCCCCGAAACTTGTCATTTATTATGGGTGCGCACTCCCAGTAACGCCTGCTGGACTCCAACCTAGGCCCCTCTCCCTCTCCCCCGTGTTTTCACCAGCGTATCTACCACGTGACCCGTTCTGGGTAGGTGCCCACAAACTTCCACAGTGATATAGGCCGTCTGCTGCTGCTAAGCACAGCCCGACAACTGTCGTCCGGGGCAAGACGGACTAGCCGACCTGACCAGAAGCGCGCAGTCACTGTCTACTCACAACAATTCAGCAGCAGCAAAAGTAGGGAGAACAACCGTATTGGAGAATTCGCCTAACGACTCCACAGCGGAACAAAACATGTGATCCTGTTGAGGTGGTGACCCGAAGCGGTCGTCAGGCCTCATGAGGCATTAAGAATCCTGAATCTCAACCATCTGCAGACCCAACCACCACATGAACGTGTCCGCGTCAGCACCTGACTCAAAACACTGAAAATCCCCTCCCTCACCTGGAAGAATAAGGGCATGATCAGAATTTTGGAGCACTCATTTAAAAGGTATGGGTTGACAAAAGTAAGTGAAGATAATGAACATACTCCATAGCATTTCACAAGCTTAGTTTCTGCTTCATTAACATTACCTGGCGGTGCTGCATTCCGTTCCGTTGGATCATTCTTTTTGTCTTTCATCGGTGGCGTTGGTTCCACGTCTGAAATTATGGGACAGGAGTGTTATTCCTCCGCAACATAGAAAAGCGTCTGCTATATATAACTCTGGGACAGCGCCTGTTAGCAACAGCAGCGGCGGCCGCCATTATGTTGCGAAAACCAATTTTGTGCGCACAGCAGAACCACGCTCAGGCACCGCGCCTACAGTGGTCGAAGGTCGACTAACGCTACAACCCTCCCGCACCCTTCCGCTCTCACCCCGCCCCTGACACTGACTGCTATTACCCCCCCCCCTCCCCCACATTTCCACATTCAGCCTGTGTTTTAAGGCGAACTTTAATCGATTTATCTTATCACTGACGTGTTTTTACTTCTACCCCCTTCCCATATAATTGTACTGGCCCGACGAGAATTTATCGAAAGCTACGTATGCTCGCCGCCTCGTCTTCTGATGTATAACTCAATTCCTCTTTTCCACCGCCGTGTTCATTTTTATAATTTGCGCAACTACTTATGTAGAAGTGCATATGCGCAGATATGAACTGTTGATCTCAGGCCATTCCGGTAGCACATCAGGGGATTTCATCTACATTATCATACCACCTGGGCAGACGCGTGTGCACACGCTCAAACAAAGAACTTTCGACTTACATGCAGACCGGTCATCACCGACGTTGACTCAGTGGTCGACTGGGTGCTGAGTCAAGGCACCATCATACAGACGAGTCAACGTGCCTCCTTTGAGGTTATGACCCGAGTAAGGAAGCACACCGTTGTCACCACCAAACACTAGCATGCGATAAACACGTTGGGAGCAGACGCGACAGGGCGTGATGGTATCCCGTGAACACACAGGCGGAATACCGTCAAATTTACTCGGTCATCTTTGATTCGCATATGCCTTCAGGCTCCAAATATAGTTTTAACAGAAGCTGAAGATTCCTGACTACGGAGTGCGCAAAGAACGATCGCACGCAGAACCGAGTGCATAGGACTGTGTCATTCCATCGTCACCTCCCTCTCTACATCCATATCGGAAACTCTCACGGACGACGAATCGGTCGGTGCGTCAGAGATGCAATCAAAATGTCTGCCAGCACACGATTGGGAGTGTTAACACAGCCCCACTTTCCATGAGATCACAGATGAGCAAGCTAAGGACGGTCAGATGCCTCTATCGAAGCCCAGATTTTGTTTACAGGTAATCTACTTCATTTTGATTTGGCTACATCTCTGATACCCGCGATCTGCATAGTAACTCACGAAAGTACGATGTCTGAAATACAGGCACCTTCCCCTCGGAAGCTGGGTGATTTTACAATTTAAATGGCCATCATCACCTTGACAGTAATGCGAGCTGCATTCTGAGCGCCCGGCCAGAGCACGACCGCGGATGAACCTCTATTTCTCTGAAGCACCCGTAAACAGTTATTCATGCCAAGGGACTATGTCGAGGAAGTCACGTTCTCTGAACCTTTTCCTAATCCTCATTTCCGCTTCATTCACATGCTATCTTCCGTCATCAGCAGTGTCACCCCTTGTTTCGTTTTTGCATTACCTCCTGCTGCCTCTGTCGTTGTTGCCTCCAGCGGAATGGGTTGTGCGTCTAAAATTGAAGGAAGTTCAAATAAATAGTTTTATCCTATTTTTCGAATGCAGTGTTCCAGATTTATTCTTCTAATTAAAATTCGGCATACAGAATTTGGATTTTCCACGGATTTTGAAGTGTTAATTATGTAAATATTTATATGAGTCAGTTTTAAGGTTAGAACATTCGGAAACGCCTTTAAGGTTATTACCAGTCTTTTTTCGATTTGAATGTCCCGTCAAGTGTCTTGCTCGTGAATTTATTCGTGCATCGCAATAAGCGCTGTATTGGCCAATAATTTTAGGCCATTTTGGGAGTGACTATGATGTTAACAGCGATGTGTTCGTGCATATTTCAACTAGCTGACGGAACTTACCAAGTGGGGGTGAGATTCATTTGGCAGACATTTTAGTCATCTTAGATTTATTGGTTTTTACCTTGTCATGCTGACTTATAGACAGATGTGCTATTTCAGATTGTTGTGTTTTACTGGATGCCTTTTAAATAAGTCATATCGTCACATCTCGCAATTTGCATTAGATGTGCTAACTCAAAAAAGTGTACCCGAAATTCTGAAATGCGTCTTCAACTATGGAGATTACTTAAGTAGGCATATAATATTAATTACCAAGCACCAGAATCCCAAGATACTTCAATTATTTCAGATGCCGAGTTGTAAAATATATTTTTTTACCGCCACCTGGAAAACTTACACTCTGTAGAAAATGACTGCGTAATTAGTACGTTTTTTTAATTCATATTCGATGCATTTCTGTACTCAAGTATATTTCATGGAAGATATTCACAAAATACTCACTGTTTTACTATTTTGGTTAAAAATTCCGTTTTATTTAGATTTTGCACTTAGAGGAAGGTTATAATTCCGTTTTGAAAAGCTTTTAAATATGAGATTTTTAAGACCCTGAAATGCCGTTGCATAAGACATCGTGTCTCTGCATTTAATTATGTTGTTGTTAAGATTCACAATATGGCTTACATCGCCTGCAAAACAATATGAACCCCTATTAGCAGCGTATACGAAAAGATGAATTTTCGAACACAGAAAATATGCTACTTCTACTTTGGAAACCCTGAGTGAAAGTATAAAGGCAGGTCCGATTCAAAACTATTCACGAATTGAAAAGGTTTTTTAAACAAAATAGTAAAACAGTGAATAATTTTTGTGAGTTTCTTCTTTGAAATATATTTGAATTTATAAGGGCAACTAAAATCAATGAGAAAACATCATGCCTTGTTAGCAGTCATTTTCTACAGAGCGTAGTTTTCGCAGGCAGCCGGAAAGAAGTTCTCTTCAAACTGCCATCCTGAAGTAGGGAACGTATTTTCGGGATCATGACGCATTGTCCTTAATATTAGAGCCCTAGTTAAGTAATATTTTTGAGTCGAAGACACATTTCAGTCAATATTTTATGAGTTTGCACACCTATTTCGCTTCCATATACAACAAAGTCCGTGTGGAATTTTACGTTTTCCATACATAAACACTTCTAGATTAAATAGGAGGAGTGATGTTTGCAAGTACTTACATCGCCAATCAACGTTGTATGTCAGTGCACGATGCGGGGTGGCTGGACTGAGACGGCAGTAGAAAAATTCGACGTCACCTCTGGACTCCTTCACAGTCAGAGTGTGAATGAGGTTCTGGCCTGCAACGGTCACCACTGGGAAGTAAAACAAGACATACTGGACTTTTGCCTTTGGGATCCAGTAAGAGGCATACAAAAAACAATTCTATTCTGATATGCTTACTAATATGTATGACAGTAGGCAGTTATGTCTATAGCAGTGCAAAAGAGGTCTGGGGTGAAATTTACTTAACTCACCACATTTGCCGGTCTCGTTCTTTATTGTTGTTCCTCTGCACAGCCTCACATCGCCTCGAAAGCATTCGAACTAGGGGAGAATAGACAATTTCTGTACTTATTGTGATCACGAGACAGGTCCGGAAGACCGAAAAGTTGGGCCGACTTGGGACCACCCATGCCAGTCTCCTCCTCCGCCTACTGTTCCCCCTTCATCTACCCACCCCTCCTACTTAACCTCCCTGCCTCTTAAACGCGCTGTCATACTCACCATAAACATCCTCCCTCTTTGCTTATTCGGCTCACAAGATTAGTTCAGAGAGCCGACTGATTGGACCGACTTGAGACTACCCATCCCAATCTCCTACCATTCTCCTTCTCCACCTCTACTTCTCTCCCTCCTACTTTTCCTCCTCTCCCTCATTCTGCGTACCCTCAACTGTCCTCTCCCACTCTTCTACATTCTCCTTCTTCCTCCTCCTCTTTCTATATCTCCTTTATCTCCGACTCATCCTCCTCCTTCGCCCTTGCCCTCCTTCCCCCACTCCCCCACTCGTCTCCTCCACACCACTCCTAATATATTGATACTTCTTTGAATACAAATACACCGACATGTACTGTTAGCGTGCGCTTCAGTGAACAGCCTAGTGCATTACAAAACTATTCTGTTGGAAGGAAAATAACTAAGGAATAAAAAGCACGGAAAATCTACTTGTCGTCTGCCGCTCACAGCGAGGCATTTCTTCACTGTAGTTCAACCCACCCAAACAAACACTTGCACCATCTACCAAGTAGCACAGGTGGCCAGCAGAACTGTTTCAATCCAAACACCCAGCTTTGGTTTAATCAACAGAAAACCACTTACTGCTCTCCTCGTCTGCACCGTCCCGGGAAATTTCTAAACCAATGTCGTCCGCTTGTATTTTGGGCACTTCGTCAGATGCATGTCCTCGTCAACTACGAAACGATCTAAAGGGGTTGAAGATTTCAGCAAGCATGTCAGTCCCCAATGAAAAGCCAGGGAAACGCGCATGTGAAGCAAGAATGTTGAGAAGAACTGCTCAGAATAAGTTGCGGTTGAAGAAGGGTCTCAGTGACTGAGAGACCAACCTGGAAAGGATTTGTCCTGAACGTGGGTTTCGATTCTGTGGACTGTCACAGGGTAGGTGCTGTCAATGAATATCGTGTCAACATTCGTGATGTTTGGCACCGTCATATTCGTTCCCAAAATTTCGCCATCTATATGATCAGTGGAAATTTATAAAAACACCGTGGTTATTTTGCCTCGCAAAGTCGATGGGCAAGTACTTCAGCCAATATCGACAAACTGCATTTCGTCGAACGTACCGTCAGCGTACACGCATCTGAATTTCACATCACCAAGGTAACACGTGGTCCGGCTAAACCACTTTGCAGCAAACGGCACTTCACCAATGTATCCACGCTGTCAGAAGGGCCGAAAAGCAAGATTTCATGTGACAGGGCAAAAAAGGCCAACACTACTGCATGCTGGAAGGTTGGAAATGGTTGCTCACCCCATATCTCCCACTGCGGACCGTCCTTAAGTGAACTGGACCCTTCTGCGTCGTGTAAGTGCGCATGTCCCAGTCACAGATGCCCACTGCCTGCCTGTAATTCGAAGAAGTGTTTGACATTTGCTGCGGTCATTGCATCTTCAATTATACCCCCAATTTTATAAAAACATGCAACAAAATGCAAATAACGCTGAGAATGACGGCTCCACGCCAATGTTCCTTACTCGCACCTTCCACGACACAACCATCGCCACTGTCGCAGTACCTTCGAGAATTACATGGGAAACGCTCTCATCTTCATATTCACAGGTTATAAAATAGATATAAATAGCGGAGAATGGAACGTACACTTCAGCAACGAAGACGAAGAGTGCCAGGGGCAGGACCACACAGTGGAGACGTACACCGATCACTTTCATCCCGAGATTTGAGCACAGTCGACCTGCACCGCAGTTCTAGTATACAGTCCCCAGCGTCCCAATCGATCGATCGTTCTGATTGGTCCGTATCCCTCATGAGTCCACTGCGTGCATTGAGGAAATTGGGGCGACAAAACACTCATAAGTGGCATGAATAATTGTAGTTTTTGAAAACTGAGCAAAACAGAGTAGGAAATGATTGCTACTAAAGAAGTTTATTCATGCGTGTCATGAGTGAGAAACAGGGGTGTTTACAGGGAACAGTTAGACCACTGACTTACAGGTTAATACGTTGGCATTCATCCGCCTGTTCGTTCAAATAGTGTGTGAATTTTATAAAGCTGGTGACGCAATCCATGTCGCTCTAGGTGAATATTTTCTACGAAGTGTTTTCAAGCGGCTAATTGGGAAAACCCCGGTTCAGACGCCATCATGCCACGCCCAAGATTGGATGTGGACATTTTAAGAAAAGAGAGAAAGTACTTTGAACTTAATGTCATTTGCCCACTACATCACGCTTTTGATATTAGCGCAGTTTTTCAATGCAATTCCGGAACTATGTAACCTATAGAACGCGAGTCCTACAAAGTAGTTTTCCAGCTGGAGTAGTATAATGGACCACATGGGAGCCAACGGGCATAATTCGATTTCTAAAATTCGTGGTAAAGATTAACCTACGTCGATCCTCTAAATTCAGCAGGTTTGACCAAACACATAAATAATAAGCAGTGATAAAATGATATTATTTTAAATTTCAATTTCTGTTTGTTCTAATGACATGCCACTGAATTATGCGGTTAGCATTAAGAGGTCTGACAAGCAGTCGAATAGCGATTAACAGAGTAGGCAGATGATGGTTTTCCTAAAAGGCCATGGAGGTATGCGGTGATTAGTCGTTGTCAGACTGCCAGCTATCGTATCGTGTCCATCATATCTCAAGAATGACGAGGAAAAGGAAGAAGAAGATCAAGAGGAAGAAGAGGAAGAAGAAGAAGAAGAGGTGACTTAATGTACCCAATTACATTTGTAATGACGTTTTGGAAATTTTCTCTCTTCCAAAGGCCAGGGGCCCTCGAGGATCACTATGGACAAGGCCGAACACTGAATTCCACGGACTGCCAGTGAGTTCCAATAGAGGGTTTTACTCATGCTCGGATTGAATAAACACGAATATAAGCTGGCTGTGCGATGCCAGTTATCTTTTTATGCTGGAATTCATCCACCTATTCGTTCAAATAGTGTGTGAATTTTCTAAAGCTGATGGCGCAATCCATGTCGCGCTAGGTGAGTATTTTCAACTAGTGTTTTTACGGCTACAAGAGAAAACTCCGTTTCAGACGCCACCATGCCAAGGCAAAGATTTAAACTGCACATTTTCACATATACAATGCGAAAAAGTATTTCGAACTTAATGTTGTTTGCCAACCAAATTACGGTTTTGGTATTAGTGAAGCTTTTTAACGCTATTCACGGACTGTTATCCCTAAAGAACGCGAGTTCTGCAAAGTAATTTTCCAGCTCGAGTAGTACAATGGACCCTATGTGAGCCAACGTCATACTCCGATTTCCGCAATTTCTGCAAAATGACAGTTCGACCATCGATTTCGATTATGTCCACCGTGTGCCCCACAGCAGGTTGGAGCAGGGACGGTGACTTGCGCAGGGGTTTATAGTGCCAGTAGACTTGCGCTGCATCTACCTACACTCTCTCCACCTCCCTCGCCCGAGCCCGGTGTCAAGACAGAGTCAAGAAGACCGCAGACGAGGGAGGCCGCAGGTGGATGGCTCGGACGGATCCTCACCTTGGCGTTCCACCACACCCCCCTGGTCCACACAACAATAACCAGGATTTCAACTAACACAACAGAGATTTGGAGGCTGGCACGGCCGAAGCCGCACCTAGGCGTGCCGCCAACGCCTGGCTCGGATCCCACACTGTGGTGGGAGTGCCATAAAGGCCACATTAAAAAGGAGCCATTGCAGCCTGACTCTCAGACCGCCTCCCGTTAAGGAGGAGGTCCAAGGTACCCCGTCAGTTGGCAACCTTCCAAGCCACGGCTTTTAGCGCACCGTGATAGCTTCAAGCACGTCAGATTGATTATAGTGAGGAAAAAGTGCGCTGAGTAGTCGACCTCACTCTCCCTTCCCATTCCCACACTCCAGCCGCCGTCCGAGCCGGTCGGCAAACTGGAGTGGTGGATGGGCACGGTGGCTGCCACGGTCGACTGACCGTGACTGCGCGCGCCACAGCACGACCTGGCCCCCCATACACACACAAACACCAGGATTTCGCACAACGGGGGTTGAACGGCGTGTCTCTCACTTGCGTGAGAGGGCCGTGGAAGATGCTGCTTCAGCCCGTTCCCAGCCCACCAGTCCGCCACTCCACACAGCACACACAGACAACGCGACGAACTGCGTGAACCGAGAGCGGGCCTCAATCAGCAACCTTCCTATCCACGACGCTTGAAGTGTCGGGATAGTCTCGGACTCAAATCACCCGTACAGCCGAAGCCGCGTGGGAACCGAAACGAGATGCACACTTCCCACTTGCGTGGAAGGTGGCAGTTGGTGCATGCGTTGGGTAAGTGTTGATGTGTGTTGGTGATGCTGGAGGAGGGTAGGGAGTGTGGATGTGTGGTGTAACCGGCGGTTGTCTACCGCAGGTCGTCGTGGATGCGCATGTGGCCGAATAGGCCCATGTGGTGCCTGAAAGTGCGAGGGCAGTGTGGACAGTTGAGACGAGCTTGGTGGGTGTAGGTTGGTGCTTCAGGCACTGGTTCTCCGGTCTCTGTGCAATGGATTCGCAAGTGACCGACCAGGCCGATGTGTGAGGTGAAGGTGCGGTCGCAGTGAGGGCAGGTGTAGTCCTGATTCTCATTGCTGGAGTCAGGAGAGGCGGGGGTGGTGCCGGTTGTTGTGTCGCGGTCAGAGATGTGCGAGACGGCTGCCTGAGCGGCCGCCGTTGGGGCAGTGGTGGTGGTGGGGGTAGTGGTGGTGGTGGAGGAGGAGGAGGAGGAGGAGGAGGAGGAAGCAGAGGAGGTAGAGGAGGCAGAGGAGGCAGAGGAGGAGGAGGAGGAGGGGGAGGAGGGGGAGGAGGAGGATGGAAGTGGTGGTGCAGAAGAATTCAGAGAGTTATTCGGCGGCAGAGAGGACGAGGATGACGCGGGCGGGGGGATGAAGTTTGGTGCAGTTCGAGAGGTACAGTTGATCCGAAGATGTCCAACAAGGCCGATTCGAGCCCGGAATGTCCGCTAACATCGAGGACACGTTGGAAGCAGTTGTGCGACAGCGTTCCTGACTGGGCGCAGTTGTGATTTGCGGGCTTCGCGTTTCGCTTTGGCGGCGGCGATGCGGTTGGCTTCGCGGATAGCAGCGCCCGTCTTCACTGTTCTTCTCCATGCCGGACGATCGCAGGCGAGCTCTTCCCAGTTGGTCGGGTTGATTTGCAGTAGCTTCAGGGAGGACTTCAGGGTATTCTTGTATCGACGAATTCGGCCTCCTTGACGACGAGAACCCGTCGCGACGTCTCCGTAGAAGAGTCGTTTGGGTAGCCGCTCGTCGTCCATGCGCACCAGGTGGCCGTTCCAGCGCAGCTGCATTTGTCTCAACTTGGAGTAGATGCTGAGCATTCGCGTTCGTTCCAGCACATCAGTGTCGGGGATGCGATCCTGCCAGTTCAGCCGCAGGATGCGACGAAGACAAATGAGGTGGAAGTGGTTCAGACGGCGTGCCTGCCTCGTGTACACCGTCCAGGTCTCTGCTCCGTACAGTAGCGTCGGCAGGATAACGGCCTTGTACATCTTCAGCTTCGTGTTCAGTTGAAGACCGTGACGATTCCAAACTGTGCTTTGGAGACGACCGAAGGCTTGATTGGCTTTCGAGATCCTGTTGGCGACTTCGTCATCAATCTTGGTGGTGCGGGAGAGAGTACTGACCAGGTACGGGAAGTTCTCCACCATTTGCAGTAGGGTTCCATTCACGCTGATTTGCGCCGACGCGTTGGGGGCTGTGGCTGAGTTGGGTGGCGGTTGGTGCATCACCACCGTCTTCTGCGTGTTAATGACCAGACCGAAGTGCTCGCAGGCGGCGGAGAACAGGTCCATGCTCCGTTGCATCTTCTCTTCTGAGGTGGTGTTCAGGGCGCAGTCGTCGGCGAAGAGGTGTTCGTGAACGGTTGTTGTGGATACGCGTGATTGGAAGTGCATCCGCCGTTGATTCAGCAGGTGGCCGTCCGTCCTGTAGGCGATGCGAATCCCGGGACGTTCGTCGCGGTAGGCGTCCATCAGCATGGCAGAGAACATAAGACTGAAGAGGGTTGGTGCCAGCACGCATCCCTGTTTCACTCCGTTAGTCACAGCGAATGCCTCTGAGACAGCTCTGTTGTCCGTGACTCGCGCCATCATACCGTCGTGCAGCTGGCGCACCATCTGAGTGAATCGCTCTGGACAGCCGAATTTCTGCATGATCTTCCACAGTCCTTCACGATTCACCGTGTCGAAGGCTTTCGTCAGGTCCACGAAGGTAGAGTACAGGTGGGTCCGCATCTCCTGACACTTTTCCTGAAGTTGGCGGGCGGCGAAGATCATATCCATGGTCCCACGATGACGACGGAATCCGCACTGGCTTTCTGGCAGAAGGCCCTGTTCCAGGTGGTTATTGAGGCGGTTGAGAAGGATGCGAGCGAAGATCTTCCCGGCGATGTTCAGCAAGGAGATGCCACGGTGATTGTCGCAGACTTGGCGATTCCCTTTTCGCTTGTATAGGTGCACGATTGTTGTGTCCTTGAAATCTTGCGGGACTTCACCTTGACGCCACATCTCCTGGAAGAGGGCAGTCAGGTGATCCATGAGTTGGGGACCTCCGTGCTTGTAGACCTCAGCAGGGATTGCGTCCGATCCGGGTGCTTTCCCGCTGGAGAGCTGCTGCACGGCCCTGATGGTCTCCTGGAGAGATGGCGGGAGGTCTAGGTCCGCGTTGGTCTCGACTTGCGGCAAACGCGCGATGGCGGCGTCGGAGATGGCGGAAGGGCGGTTTAGGACGCCTCGGAAATGCTCGGCCCATCGCTGAAGGATTTGCGTGTTCTCAGTCAGGAGAGTACTGCCGTCGGCGCTGAGGAGAGGAGCAGTGCCCTTTGTCGGTGGACCGTAGACAGCTTTGATCGCAGAAAAGAAGTTTTTCCATTCGTTGTGGTCTGCGTAGCCTTGGATCTCCTCAGCTTTGTGAGCAGTCCAGGCGTCCTGCATCTCACGCAGTCGCTGCTGGAGGTGGCGGCGACTGCGGTAGAAAGCAGCTTTGTTATCGTAGGCTTTGTGTAGGCGGTTCTTCTCAGCAAGCAGATTTCTGATGGCGGCGTCGTTGTCGTCAAACCAGTCCTGGTGTTGGCGGGGAGCACGACCGAGGACGGTGAGCGCCGTCGCCTGGACCGTGTCTCGCAGTTGACACCAGCGGTTCTCCACGGAGGCGTTTTCGGCAGCGGCGGCATCGGCGATGGGGAGGTTGTCTAGCCGTTGAGCTAGCTCATTGCTGAAATGGAGATGGTGAGCGGGCAAGGACAACAAGGCAACATTCAGCTTACCTGGGGGTCGCTTACCTTGAGGTCTCCTGCGAGGCTGTAGGCGAATACGCATCTTCGAGATGACGAGGCGATGGTCGGTCCACCCGTCAGCACCCGCGATCGCCTTCGTCACCAGCACGTCCCGCTGGTCACGCCTTCGGACAAGGACATAGTCCAGCAGGTGCCACTGACGCGACCGAGGATGCCTCCAAGTGGCCTTCTCTCGCTCCGGCAGACAGAAGAACGTGTTTGTCAGGATAAGGCGGTGTTCTGCGCAGGTGCGGAGCAGCAGCAGACCATTGTCGTTTGAGCCGCGGAGACCGTGGGGACCCAGCACTCCTCTCCAGGCAGTATGATCTGTGCCGACGTGGGCATTGAAGTCGCCAAGGACAACCAACTTGTCCGCCATCGGCACAGCCGCCAAGAGGGCGTGCAGGTCCTCGTAGAATTTGTCTCTGACGGCGTCGGGGTTGGTCATGGTCGGAGCGTAGGCGCTGATGATGGTGGCGAATTGGCCCCCTCGCCGGAGAGGCAGGCGGAGGCTCATCAGGCGATCGTTGATGCCCTGCGGCAAACAGGGCAGTCGTCCCACGATGTTGTTCCGAATGGCGAAGGCGACACCCGCGTCCCGTCGCTCTGCCCTGGGTCGACCGCTCCAGAAGAAGGTGTAGCCGGCACCCACCTCCTCCAGTTGGCCTTGTTCGGAGAAACGGGTCTCGCTGAGTGCGGCGATGTCCACCTTGTAGCGCGCCAGTTCTCGTGCCACTAACGCTGTCCTCCTTTTCGGTGGGTTGCTCCGCGGATTGTCTAAAAGGGAACGAACATTCCAGGCTGCCAGAGTGAGCGGACTCACCCTGCCAGTCTGGTGACGACGAGTGGGGCGACGGGAGGGAGATGGAGAAGAAGGTGACGAAGGAGAAGAATAGGCAGAGGAAGAGGTAGAAGAGGTAGGATGAGGAGAAGGAGTATGGTTGTTGTTGTTATTGGTATTGTTGTTGTTTCGATTTTGATTGTTTCGACCATGATTAGACGTCTGCGGCCCTGGCTAGCCTGAAGACGGCGTGGTACCCAGCAATGTTTAGGCCACCTTTTCTAGGCCCTTCCCCTCGTGGGGGGAGGCAGTGCCGCCCCTGAATCGGGCTGCCCATGTGCCTGGTTGGCGCGACCGATCCCATTATGGGGCCACGACTTTTATGTTCGTAGTGGAGAACGACCGCATATGCAGTGAGTCCGCGGTCTCCGTCGGCGAGGGTGGGCGCGTCTCAGCGAAGGCGATGCGGAGACCCGTCCCGGCAGCAGTTATCCAACGGCGTACCAGGCAGAGCCTCGTCTCGACGATGCCGGCGCAGTGTTTCATCCGACCATTCATCCAGCGGAGTCCGCAGTACACTGTGCACGCGGCACAAGCGCACAGCGCCCTCACTTGGTTTAGCCCGCCGGTCGAGACGGTTGCCCGGGGTGTGGCCGCTGAGCAGAGCCCAGCTACGTGGAGCCACAGGTGAGAGTTGGGTGCCAGCAAATGGACGCTAGGCGTAGTCTCACCTGCAAGCAAGTGAGCGACCACTACGACCATCACGTGAACCCACCGTTGACACCCCCTACACCCCTTCTGCAAAATAATAACCTACATTCAGCAGGTTTGACCCAAACACATAGATAATAGTCATTGATAAAATGATAGTATTTTCAATCTTAGTTCCTATTTGTTCTAATGACATAACCCTGAATTATGCGGTGAGCAGTAAGAGGTCGATCAAGTAGTCGAATAACGATAAACTCTGTTGGTAGATGATGGTTTTCCTAAAAGGCCATGGAGGTATGCGCTGATTAGTCGTTGTCAGACTGCCAGCTATCGTATCGTGTCCCGAGAATGACAAGGAAAAGGAAGAAGAAGAAGAAGAAGAAGAAGAAGAAGAAAAAGAGGAAGAAGGGGAAGAAGAAGAAGAAGAAGAAGAAGAAGAAGAAGAAGAAGAAGAAGAAGAAGAAGAAGAAGAAGAAGAAGAAGAAGAAGAAGAAGAAGAAGGGGTGACTTAATGTACCCAATTACATCTGTAATGACGTTTTGGAAATTTTCTCTATTCCAAAGGCCAGGGACCATCGAGGATCACTATGGACAAGGCCGAACACTGAATTCTACGGACTGCCAGTGAGTTCGAACAGAAGATTTGTACGGCTAGATCGCAGTTGGTAGCCAGGACCCGTATTACAGGTGGCGGGGGGGGGAGGTGGGGTTGTTTACTGTGGCTACTTTGTAAGGCTCCATAGTCAGATCTGATCTATTTGGCCTCTGTTTTACGTTTGAGGTTAGGATTGGGGTATCGGTTAATGGTTTCCGACATTCGGGTTAGGGTTATGCCTTTAGGCTTAGGTTTTTGGGTTGCGGTTAGGGTTTGAGCGTACCATTAGGTTTCAGTATTACGGTCAGGTTTTTCAGTTACGGCTGTGTCTAAGGGTTACGGTTGCATTTACGATTTCGGTAAGGGCTAGGGTTGTCGTTAAGGTTAACGGTTAACGTTTAAGCTTGAGGTTAGGGTAAGGGAAGGTTAAGGTTAGGACTAGGGTTAAAGTCGCCGTCCGCATCCCCATTCCCGGCTACCAAAGGCGATCTAGCCGATTATACACATGCTCGGATTGAATAAACACGAATACAATCTGACTGTGAGACGCCAGTTATTTTTTGGATAAATGCATACGCACAGTTGCTGGGACTGGATGAACTATCTGCTCTCTCAGCCCTATTTCAGCTTGGAACTCCCCCCCCCCTCTGTTGAATGAAACCACCAGAGGAACTCAAGTAGGCAAAAATTGCCCCTCCTTAATTCAATTAAAAGGCGCTTCTTTTTGACCTACTAGTCGTTTCCTATAGGCCAAGTACATTCCCGCATAGTTAATTTCTTTTCCTACGACCGTAAGTATAATTCGATCTCGGCCAGTATAAATAATATGCGCGGGGTCAGAATCTGCTAACTGAAGATGGCGAAGACAAGAACAGGTGACTTAATGCGTCCAATTACATTCGTAGTGACGTCTTCAAAATGTTCTTCCTTCCATAAGCTAGGAGCACTCGAGGATCATTGTGGACATGGCCGAACACTAAATTCCATTGACTTTTAATGATTTCAAATAAAAGATTGTACACATGCCCGGATTGAGCTGACTGTGGGGTCGGTGAAGGATTATCGTATACGGGAGGCGATAAATGCAAAACAGGTCAGGAATCTAACCTTACAGCCACCACGATAATCGTCGACGCCTGCAGCAATATCTGTTGAGAATTGTTTGAAGCCTCGGATGGGAACTCAGGCAATCGATGCACCGAAGGGACGCGAACAGGTAGAAATTGTTTGTCCTTAATTTTACTAAAAACTGTCGGTTTTTGACTAACCAGCTGTCTGCTATCGGCCGTGTACATGTCTGCGCAGTTAACTTCTACTCCTAAAACCAGAAGGAGAGTTCAGTCGCTGCATCACTTACACCTGGTAAGATTGAAGGCATCAATATTTCGCTGGCGTTATCTTTGAGGCTCAGTGGCTTAAACGAAAGGAAACGCTGGAGTTCGGCCAGATTTAATGCATCTATCGTTGCCTTCGTGGACTGGAACCGCGCTCATGGCTTCCTTTTCCACGTCCTTGCCTTTCTCGCCTTTTTTTCTTCCTGGTCCTCTTTTTCTTCCTCCTCCTTCCACTCCTTAACACCGTAATTACAATATTAATAACTACAGTAAGCATTTGGACTGGCGGCCCTGTGGTGACTATCGTGCCCTCAACAATGCGACCATCCCGGATCGTTATCCCGTCCCTCATCTTCAAGATTTTGCTGGAGCTCTTTTCGGCAAATCGGTTTTCTCGAAGACTGACCTTGTTTGGGCCTTCCATCAGATTCCTGTCGCTCCTGAGGATGTTCCCAAAACTGCCGTCACCACACTATTCGGCCTGTTCGAATTTATTCGCATGCCATTTGGTCTTCGCAATGCTGCCCAAACATTTCAGAGGTTCATTGACCGAGTCCTACGTGGTCTCCCGTTTGTGTACGCCTACATCGATGACCTCTTGATGGCCAGTCGAAATGCCGAGGAACACAAAGAGCATCTTACCTTAGCGTTTGACCGCCTCGATCAGTTTGGCGCGGTCATTAACCCTTCGAAGTGTGTTCTGGGTGTGCCGTCCCTTGATTTCCTTGGTCACCATGTCGATGCACAAGGTTTGCGTCCCCTCTCTTTCAAGGTTGAGGCCATTCGTGACTTCTCTCCTTCTTCCTCCGCCTCTTCTTCGACCTCTACTAATTCTTCCTCGTGACCATCATCCTCCTCATTCCTCATCCTTTTTCTCCTTCTTCTTCTTCTTCCACGCCCTCGTCTTCCCTTCATCACCTCCTCTTTTGCCACCTTTTCCTCTCTTTTACCTGAAATTACACACTTGTAACTACAACATATACGGCAGTTCGACCGTCGTTGCCGACAATGTCACCTTGTGCTCCACTGAAAGGTGAAATAGACGCGGTAACCTGCGCGGGAAACATTTTGTAGTGGACGTTGACTTACGCAGCACCTACTGCCCTCCCTCTTCCCTACTCCCCATCTGGACCCGACGTCAAGGCAGAGTCAAGAAGACCGGAGACGGGAGAGGGCGCAGGTGACTGGCACGACCAAGCCCGCACCTAGGCGCGCCACCGCAGCGTCTGGTCCACACAGCAAATAACCAGGTTTTTGACCAAATAAAACACCAACCACAACAACACCCCAACAGGGGTCAGAAGAACGAGAATAATGACTAGGCCGCCATGCCCAGGACTTGCGTACCTAACGCGAGCGCAGGCGAACCTACCGGCAGGGAACCAGGTGTCAGGGAACTGCTAGCGCTCCGATGGTCATGGTTTGCTGATGCTGGTGTAGAACACGCTAACAGACCTTTTGGCACCAAATATTGCACTTCTAGGGATCACTTTACATTTACACTTTACTTTACATATACTGCCCTACAGATGAGGACTGGCAATGCAGGCGGCTATAAGCGGTCCACTGACAATGGACCTCGGCTGATTCAGCTGTTTCGTTTTGTCCCGGCACCCCACTCTATGAAACCCTATTTAATACGGTGACCGAATCCAAACATGCCCTAGGTGCTGAAGGCGAATTCGACTCGTCTTCTCACCAAACAGACGTCGTGTCCATGGTGGAATTTGGTCACAGTAAAGCCGAACAAAAACGGCCCCCACAAGGACGACTTGAAGAACTCGTTGGAACATTTTCAAATCGACTCGGAGACCTACGACGACCTTCGTCAATAGTAACAGACATGGCGCATTGCTATGCCTTCGAAGTCAAACGAATGGCGGTTACCAAAGGCACGGACGCGTCGTATTAAAAAGAAAGCCAGGGAGACTGCACGGTTGCACTCTGAGTGTTTCAGAAATAGTTGTCCTGACCCCTTACCTTAACCCCAACCCTAAATCCTTACACTAACCCCTAACCATAATTTCTAATCCGGTGACAATCGTAAGATGGCACCCGAAAAAATCCGTTACCTAGAAATAATACTTTTAACAGTGGACTCAAACGCCTTCAGGCTATATCAGCGGTTGCAGGCCTACTTTCACGCACTACTTGGACTTTCCCCGACGGCCTAACATGGGCTGGCCGAACGGACATCGCAGGAGGTTACATAGACGATGTTCGCTGTTACCCAACCTTCCCCATCGTTAAACACGTACATCTGAATATACGGCATACATTCGCAGTATAGCAGTTTATTACAAAACAAAATCACTTTTAAATAGGATAAGTCTGCACAACATGGGACAGGAACAGTTCCCAGGCATCTGTCAAAGACATGGCATTGAAACCAAACCAAAGACGATACTGTACTTCGTCCATGTGAGCCCATAGAGTTCGATCACATATAGGGCCTCCCTCGTAGAGTTTACTTTTCAGTCTACTCCAGTATGCCTCAATGGCATTGGTGTGCGTCCGGCGGTAGGGTTCTTGAAGTTCTTTGAGTGGTTAACAGAGAAAAGTAGATAACCTTCTGGGGGAACACGATTATACGCCTTCCACTCGTCCGTTACCACTATACTGCCTTTGGAGACCCATTTTGTAATAACGTAACGGACAGCGGGCCAACTTCGATCATTCTCCCGTTCAAATAAAGGTTTCCGTCGGCTAGTATCGTACTTCCCGACCAGCAACCACCCATAAAACACCTAATACCACCTGTCCCGTAAGACAGGCTGCTTTGGTTAGGCGGATTTTTACCTCTAACCCTAACTCCTGAGCCCAACTTCATCATTATTGTGTCTATCAGGTTGGACTACACAATTACATCTTGCCGAAGTTTTCTCATTCATTTTGATGCCGCTATAAATTCAAATATATTCCGCAGCAAAGTGAAGGAGGGATGGTGACTTGCGCGTGGATTAGTTAAAAGTAATAGTAAACTTTCGCAGCATCTACCACACTCTCTCCCTCCCTACTCCTCTATCGGGTCCGGTGTCATGTCAGAGTCAGGAAGACTGGAGGCGGGGGGGGGGAGGAGAGCAGATAGCTGGCACGGCCGAACCCGCACCTAGGAGTGCCGCAACAGCCGGCTGCGATCCTACGGAGTGGGAGTGCCGTGAAGACCACATTAAAAAGGAGCCTTTGCAGTCCGACTCTCAGACCACCAGTCAGTCCTTCCACACAAACAAACAACACTGGGCGGACTGCGAGGTCCATGTTATCCCGTCAGTTGGTGACCTTCCAAACTACGGCCTTTAGCGTACCGTGAGAGCTTTAAGTGCGTCAGATTGTTTATAGTGAGGAAAATGCGTTGAGTTGTCGACCTCACTCTCCCTTCCCATTCCGAGCCCCAGCCACTGTCCGAGCCGGTCAGCTGACTAAGGCGGGGGATGGGCATCTATACATACACACACAACAGTTTGAACGTCGTTGTGGACAGTACGCACCCTGTGTTCCAAGGCAAGTTAAAGCAGGGACGTTTATGGTGATGGTAAACTTGCGCAGTATTTACCGCACTCTCTCCTCCCCTACTTGGGTCCATTGTCAAGACAAAGTCAAAAAGACCGGAGGCGGGAGACGGTGCGGGTGGGAGGCATTGTCCAACCCGCACCATTTGGCCCACACAGCAAATTCCCCCGGTTTTTTAACCAATAACGAAAATGGGGAGGGTCACGGGCCCCAGTGTGCGCGACATCTGCCGGTGACTGAATCTGGCAGACGCATGGCGAGACCGATTCTATGGCCTCTTCAAGTTTCACAATGTCGGCGTCCCTCTCCGACGCATCTTGTTGCTCAAAGGTACTTCAACGTACGAACTGGCTAAGTGGCTGCTCCAGCGTCTCCAGTTCCTGACCGCCGAGTCAGACACCACGGTCTCTTCGTCAGCACAATTCCTGGAGATACTCAAAGGGGCAAGCCTCCATCCAAATGAGGCCATGGTATCTTTTGATGTTACATCCCTTCTTATTTCTATTTCCCAGGACCTGGCGATCGAGACAATCGGGCTGCTTCTACAAAGTAAATACGATGAAACAGAGAATCGTCATAGACACGCCCAAGTCCTTCAGCTCCTGAAGTTCTTCACAGGAGGTACTTCACGTTCGACGGGACAGTCTACGAACAGCTGAAGGGCAAACTAATGGGTTTTTCGATTTCGGGATTCATCACCGAGGCGCTCTTGCAACGCTTAGAGTCGCTGGTTTTCCGACTTCACATGCCGAAATTCTGGGCACGGTATGTGGATGATACCTTCGTCGTCATCGAACGGGATCAGATGTTGACATTCCAAAAACATCTCAACGCCGTCTTCCCGGACATTCAATTTAGGATGGAGGAGGAAGAGAACAACCAGCTGGCCTTCCTGGATGTCCTCGTATGCCGCAAATATTGTGGTGGCATAAAAACCAAAGTATTCAGGAAAGCAGCCAATACGATGCAAACAATGAACTTCAACAGTAACCACCCAATCAGCCACAAACGCAGTTGTTCAGGGGCGCTCTATCGGCGTGTCGAAACGCACTGCAGTGACCCGGAGGACAAGATTTCCGAACTACAATACCTCCGGCGGGTCTTCAAAGCCAATGGCTACCCGAGCAACTTCGTCAACCGGTGCATACGCAAAAGGGACGAAAGGCCTAATCGCACGGACACCAAAGTGTGGCGAGCGCTTCCATATGTCAAGAACGTTTCGGAAGCTGTTGGCCGCCTTCTCGCACCACTTGGGGTTGGAGTTGCACACAGACCGGAGGCAACCATCGGGCGTCAGGTAATGAAACCGAAAGACCCGCTGCCACGGCAAGAAACGTCTGGAGTCGTTTGTCGGAGCTGTTGTAGTTGCGGACAAAGCAACTACGTCGGAGAAACCGGAAGACAGCTGCGAACGCGAATGGACGAACTCGCTGCAGCGGTGAGGAGAAATGACGCCAGCTCTCAAGTTGTGACTCATTCGACGAGATCTGGCCACAGATTCGAACTCGACAGGGCGAAATTCTCGCAAGAGGTGACAACGGCGTGAGCCGGAAGTTGCTTGAATCATGGTCCACCGAGTTGACGTTCCGATGTGAGTTGGAAGCAGACAAGAACATTGTTCTACTTTATTCTTCTACTCAATTTTGGAGGAGATATTAGGCATCTGTAATGTAGGTTTGCAACAAGGGAGTTTCGCACCAGGAATATCGAAATTCTACTTACAGTGAAAAGTGAAAAATCATGAAACTTCATCCTCTTTGCCATTGCCGATTGTAAATGTAGATGGACTTTTTCCCGCTTACGCTGCTTTTACGTAAGTCGGATGCCATAACGACGTAATTGTTGTCGATCAGCCGTCCGAGGGGAAAGCACCGCACTTGCCGCCTGTCGACCAACTGGTAAATTCGTCAATTAGCGTCGAGATACTGTCTACCACTTCAGTCGCATTCAAGTCCCTATCCACCAAAACCGGACTTCAGCATGCGTCCTACTGCCTTCCTAATTAAGAATTCTTCATCCCCAAGCCTGCGGTCAGCACGTTCGCCCGTTCGGCTCACCAACTGGCCAATCAGATTCAAGGCCGTGTCTGACGCGTCTTGGGACATCAGATATTTTCCGTCATGGCAATGGTTGTCATAATGGTAACGAGTAGACTGGCAGATTCGAATAATTAATCTCAACTAATTGTGAGAAATTCTGCGACCACTGTGAGATTCGAACTCGCGACAGCGCAGGTGGCCAAAGCGTTCGCTGTCCTGTGTTCGAATCCCACAGATGTCGCCGAGTTTTTTTGAAACTGCGTCAGACGAATTATTCGTAAGATGTGGTTATGTGGCCCCACCTGATGGACAGAATACTGTTGAGGTTGGAGTTAGGGGTTTTGGTTAGGACAACTATTTCTCAACCATTCATAGTATAACCGCGCATTTCCAATAGCTGTTTTCGCATACAACTACTTGACCTCGTCGTCTGTGCATTCCCTGGTCCCACCTGTAAAAACCCACATTACTACCGGTCCCGTATCACTGGTGGCTGCCTGACCATATCTGACCGAATTCCTTCAAACTGTCAAATGCGCGTTTTAACTAAGTGAGCTGGGTAGGCATCTGATGTCCTCTGAAGTGACTGCTTAGAACATCCTGCATTGGCAGTCAGCTTACTGTATTAGAACTGGCGGATTCCATACATTGCGGTGGACTGCGCGGAAAATTGTATTCATTTTTGATTAAACTCACAGCTTCCGGTGTGATCTCATAGCTCAGACGGTCAGAGTGTTGCCTTTACTCAAGTCTTTCCCGTTCCGCCGTAGGTTAAGTGGAGGGTAATTTTATTGCGTTTGCTCAGCTGAGAAGGTTTTTCGCGTAAAGAAAAGCGCACACGGATGATTTTGACGTATGGGGGTATGTCGTGAGGTGTGCTGGGGCAGGCTTTTGTGCAGACCAATCCGGGAACCGGGCCGTGAACCCGTGAGCAGGAGATCGATATCCTAATCGATGACGCCGATAACGTCGTTGGCATATGCCGAATAGCGCCCTCAGACCGCATCGTCCCAAACAATTTGCCGCCTGCGCGAGACTTTCATCAGAGCTGCACCTTATTGAGGTAGTGTATCTGAGAAGGGGGTAATGACTGACTGGCGGTAGCGGTGCTTGTTTTCGAGATTTTGCGTTTTCATGGCAGGAAGTCGTTGGGGAAAATAATTTGCACATGATTGAGTCAGGAAATAAGTACGACAGTCTCACTCGTCAGCAGCTTCTGTGGCAAAACAGGAGTGACGGACTTACGCAGACGTGTAACTGAAAACCAAGCCCAGGCCAACCCTTAATGCGGGAATTTTGTATGAAGAAGTTCTGTAGTTGGACTGACCAGAAAATCCTAAAAGTCTGCTCCAATCGTAAAAAAGCCAGAATCTGTTATGGAAGCCAATTTTGTTTATACGGGATAAACGCGAAACAGGAGAAAGCCGCGCCTAATCCAAAATTGACGTGGCACCAGTGCTAAAAAGCCGAAGGATGTGCATTAACATGATTGACGGGAGAGGTAAGGAGAAGCAGATGGGAAGCGGGCCAATGAGAAGACGGAATGACGGAGACGAATAGTAGAACTATTGCAGGGCAAAGAAATTGCGGAGTTCGGTAAGCTAGGTCGTCACGAAGCCGTTAAACGCATGGGTAAGCATTAATGGTTATGTGGATGTGAATGTTAGTAGGCGGGATATCCTTCTACGGCGAAGTTTGTAAAATTAGAGTAATCAGTACGATGGGAAGGTAAAGGAAATCCATAGCTAGCCAATCAGACCGCTAATTCATACGCAGTTGGTGCAGTTAGCTAAGCTTTTTATGCAATTCATTTGAATACAAGTAGCATTAGGTCTGCAACTGAACACGTTTGCCTGTTTTCTTTAGTATGCAGAGCGAAAACCAAAGTGGGGAGGGCAGAAGCCTGGCAACCTACCGCATTTTGAAGGCAATGACGTCCAGCCGGAATCCACTAGATCGAAACTCGAGGAGGATACGCTTCCGCTTCCCCAAACGAAAGCTATACGCTGGATTAGGGGGGAGTGGGAGGATCGGTCAGGAAAACGAGACCGGATGCCAACGTGATGTTCAGGCGGAATCCATAAGGCCGATATTTGATTAGGTAAGGAGGAGGACTATCGCACAAATGACAACTATAGGCTGTATTAAGGAGGAGGAGAGGGAAGTGGGTTCGGCAACGAAAGCAAGATTGGAATGTAGGTGTGGTACCCAACGCACCCGTGCTTCCTCAAGCGAAAGCTGTAGGCTGGATTTGAGAGGACGGGGAGTCTCGGTCATGAAAGCGAGACTGGAAGGCGGCTTCAAGTCCAGCCGGAGTCCACTAAACTGACCTGCGCTGGTAACCCAGAGAAAATCAGAAAAACAGTAGAACATGATTTAGCCTATTGAAAACAAATTAGTAGACAATTATGCAAAGTTAAACCGCTCAGGTTACAGTTCACATAGGTCAGTCTCACCTCGAAGGAAAGCTTACTTTTGTTTCATGGCGTAAACAATGATCGAAACTACAATATACTAATACATGGAGGAAAATTTCAACTGTAAACGGAGGAGCTTGTGCTTAACCTACAAATAGTGACGGAGAAAAATAATGCTAAAAAGGCGAAGGCGGAATGTTGTAAAGCCGCACAAACAGCAAAGTCCTAAGCACTATCAGGTTGTTATCTAAGGTAAGGGTTATTTTCGGCAATTCTTAAAAGATCTGAGCTGGTCCTTGTAAATAATGTTTGCCACGCGAATGACTCAGTGTAGAGCAAGGTGTGACTGAGAAGTAATTCCCAACTGATTCAGGAACTTAAACTTGATATATGAACCGTCGACAGTAAACGGTAGCGAAACTAAAATAAGCGCTGTCGCAGTTCGAGAGCGTTAGTTTAGTGTATATCAGCATATTCAAACAAAGGTAGAGAAAAGTTAAGGCGTACAAGGAAATACGAAGAATAAACTCAAAGATGTGAATAGACCTATACGACGACCTCTCACGAGGGCTTCTGTTGAAAGAAGAAGAGCGTTCAATAAGTAAAGTAAAAATAATTGCACCGAGCGCTGAAGCGGATGTTAACCAAAGGGATAGGATTGAGGTCTTTTTGCACAAACAGAGGTTTAGATTGCCGATAAAAGTGGAAGTGCGAGTGACAGGAATTGGTGTATTTGCGGGTAAGGAAACCACGTCGGAGTAACTGGAAGACTGCTCCGAACGCGAATGGCCGAACACAAGGCAGCGGTGCAGAAAAATAACGCCAACTTTGCAGGCCGCGGCCCATTCGACGAGACCCGGCCACACATTCAAGTTCGATGAGGCCGAAATTCTCGCGAGAGAGGAAAATCGCGTGAGCCGCGAGTTGCATGAGCCATGGTTCACGGGACCTCAGTTTATCAATAAGCGCAACGACATCCCCACTCCATATCCTGCGCTGAGACGTAGGCTGGCCAAAGTAATTGAACACTTGGGGAGCGCACAGGCCTGTGAGCCAGATGGCCGAGCAATCATCAACACGGATGATGAGATTTCAGTAAATAACAACTTACATGACGGCCATCACGCAATTAGCGCACCAGTGAGCAACAATTTTTGGTGAAGGGGAGCATAGTTAATGACTATAGGCATGCGGTAGCATAGCGACTGCATCCTATAAATACTGCAACTTCCTATGCACGAGTGACGCGTTTTTGTCATTGTCTCTGATGATAGATTCAAGTAAGGATCCGAAAAGCCAAGCAAATAAAGCCCTTGTTCCAGAGATCGTTTCTTCTTTTTCTTCTTCTTCCCCTTAGTGTCAACTAGTTCCTGGAACTTGCATCTCCGCTTGCAGCCACCGCGCCCATTCCCCGCTCCAGTAAAGTGACCGGCTCGGGCAGTTGCTGAGGCATAGAAATGGGAAGAAAGAGAGTCGACTATTCAGCGCATTTTCCTCACCAAACGCAATCTGACACACCCGAAGCTATCACGGTGAGCTAAAAGCTGTGGCTTTGAGGGTTGCCAACTGAAGGGATAACTTGGACCTCGCATTTGGCCCAGTGTTGTATGTTTGTGTGAAGTGGCCGACTAGTTGTCTGAAAGACAGGCTGAAAAGGTGCCTTCTTAATGTGGCATTTATGGGATCCGAGCCGGGTGTTTCGGTACGCCTAGGGGCGGTTTCGGTCATGCCAGCCTCCATTCTTTCATTTCTGGTCAAAAACCTGGTCACTTGCTGTGTGGGGCAGGGGTGCGGTGGCACGCCAAATTGCCGACACGACTTTGCCAGCCATCTGCGCCCTCCTCCGTCCCCGGTCTTCTTGACTCTGTCTTAACACCGGGTCCAGGCAGGGAGTGGGGAAGAGGGCGCAGTAGATGCTGTGAAAGTCTAAACCACGCACAAGTCACCGTTCTGCTCTCACCTTGCTCTGGATCACATGATAGACATTATCGGAAACGACGGTCAAACTATTCTGCGTGTGCGTATGTGCGTATTTGAAAGACTGCGTATAACTGCTAGCATCCAACAGAGGTGATGAGATTTCAGCAATCAACAACTTTAATGCCGGCCATCAAGCAATTAGCGCACCAGCGGGCAACAATTCTTAATGAAGAAAAACGCGGTTAATTGCTCTAGGTATGCGGTAGCATAGCGATGGCATCCTATAAATACTGCAACGTCCTGTGCACGAATCACCCGTATCTATCGCCGTCTCTGATGACGTGTTCGAGCATGAATCCGAAACGTCAAGTGAATAAATTTCTTGCTCCAGCGACCGCTTATAATTCCTATCAACAGGTTTGGGTGTCGGACAAGCACGAGTTGAACGCAGTGGGACCATGCATTGACAGAACATCGAATGCCTAAGAGCGCATGAGGGAGATTGTCACTTCACGAAGCTGGGTCAGAGTTGGACATCAACGCTGTCTCGAGTTGACAGTGTAGGCGTCTCACGAAGCTGTGGTTGTAATGTGCGCGCACCCGAGCAATTCAGTGGACTCGCGGAATGAGAATGGTCGTACAATAGAAGCGAAGAGCCGAGTCCCAGGAAGTAATCTTGAAGAAGGAGACACGATCGCCGGGACAAGAGCTTTATTAGCCTGACGTTTCGGATTCCTACTTAAATGCATCATCAGAGACAAAAGAGCAGAAACGGGTGGTTGTTGCACAAGGGGCTGCGGTATTTATAGGATGCAGCAGCCGTGCTACCGCACACCTATGAACGTTCACGGCTTCCCCCTTCATCCGGGATTGTCACACTTAGTGTAATCATTGCTTGATGGACGACATTCGAGTCAATAATTGCTGCAATTTCATCACGTGCGTTGGATGTTGGCGTGATGATTGCTCGACCGTCTGACGCGTTGACCCGGGTGTTAGGAAGAGTGTTCACCAGTGCGCTCCCCGCGAAGAGGGGAGGGAGACGGGGAGGAAGAAGAAGAAGAAGAAGAAGAAGGGGCATGAGAAAGAAGTTGAGGTGGAAGAAGAGGCGGAGGAAGAAGGAGAGAAAACTTACTGTAGTTATTATTTTTGTAATTAGGGTGGTAAGGAGTGGGAGGAGGAGGAGGAGGAGGAGGAGGAGGAAGAGGAGGAGGTGGTAGTGGTGGAGAAGGAAGGAAGGAAAGAAGGAAAAGAAGAACAGAAAGAATAAAAGTGAGAAAGGCAAAGACGTGGAAAAGAAAGCCATGAGCGCGGTTCGAGTCCACGAGGGCAACGACAGATGCGTTCAATCTGGCCGAACTCCAGCGTTTCCTTTCGTTTAAGCCGCTGAGCCTCAAAAATAACGCCAGCAAAATATTGGTGCCTTTAGTCTTAGCAGGTGTAACCGATGCACCGACTGAATTCTCCTTCTGGTTTTCGAAGTAGAAATTAAGTGTGCAGAAATGCACATGACCAACAACAAACAGACAACTGGTCAAAAACCAACACCCTTTAATTAATTACTGGCCATAAGACTTGTGCCTGTTCGCGTCCCTTGGGTGCGTCGATTGCCTGAGTTCCCATTCGAGGCTTCAAACAATTCTCAACAGATATTGCTTCCGGCGTGGACGATTATCGTGGTGGCTGTAAGGTTAGATTCCTGACCCGTTTTGCATTTATCGCCTCCCGTATGCGATAATCCTTCACCGACCCCACAGTCAGCTCAATCCGGGCATGTGTACAATCTTTTATTTTAACTCACTAACAGTCAGTGAAATTTAGTGTTCGGCCATGTCCGCAATGATCCTCGAGTGCTCCTAGCTTATGGAAGGAAGAACATTTTGGAGACGTCACCGCGAATGTAATTGGACGCATTAAGTCACCTGTTCTTGTCTTCGCCATCTTCAATTAGAATTTTCTTAGTCCGCACATATTATTAATACTGGCTTAGATCGAATTTTACTTATGGTCGTAGGAAAAGAAATTAACTATGCGGGAATGCACACGGACGATGGGACACGACTAGTAGGCCAAAAAGAAGCGCCTTTTAATTGCATTAAAGACGGGCAATTTTTGCCTACTTTAGTCCCACCGGTGGTTTCATTCAACGAAGGCGGTCCACGCTGAGAGAAGGTTGAGTGAGCAGATGGTTTATTCGGTCCCAGCAACTGTGCGCATGCATTTATCGAAAAAAAATAACTGGCATCGCACAGCCAGCTTATATTCGTGTTTATTCAATCCGAGCATGTGTACAATCGGCTAGATCACCTTTGGTAGCCGGGAATGGGGATGCGGACAGGGACTTTAACCCTAGTCCTAACCTTAACCCTACCCTAACCCTAACCTCAACCTTTAACGTTAACCGTTAACCTTAACGACAACCCTAACTCCAACCGAAGTCGTAAATGTAACCATAGTCCTTAGAAACAGCCGTAAGTGAAAAACCTAACCGTAATACTGAAACCTAATGGTACGCTCAAACCCTAACCGCAACCCAAAAACCTAAGCTTAAAGCCATAACCCTAACCCGAATATCGGAAAATTATTAATCGGTAACCTAATCCTAACCTCAAACGTAAAACAGAGGCCAAACAGATCAGATGTGATTATGGAGCCTTACAAGGTAGCCACAGTAAACAACCCCAACCCCCCCCCCCCCTGTTATACGGCCCTGGCTACCAACTGCGATCTAGCCGTACAAATCTTCTGTTCGAACTCACTGGCAGTCCGTGGAATTCAATGTTCGGCCTTGTCCATAATGATCCTCGAGGGTCCCTGGCCTATGGAAGAGAGAAAATTTCCAAAACGTCATTACAGATGTAATTGGGTACATTAAGTCACCCCTTCTTCTTCTTCTTCTTCTTCTTCTTCTTCTTCCTCTTCTTCTTCTTCTTCTTCTTCTTCTTCTTCTTCCCCTTCTTCTTCTTCCTCCTTTTCCTCGTTATTCTCGGGATATGATGGACACGATAAGGTATCTGGTAGTCTGACAACGACTGATCACCGCACACTTCCATGGCCTTTTAGGAAAAGCATTATCTGCCTACACTGTTAATCGCTATTCGACTTCTTGATCGACCTCTTACTGCTCACTGCATAATTCAGAGGCATGTCATTAGAACAAATAGGAACTGAAATTGAAAATAATATGCTTTTTCAATGGGCATCATCTATGTGTTTGGGTCGAACCTGCTGAATGTAGAGGATCAACGTAAGGTTATTATTTTGCAAAAATTGCGGAAATCGAAGTATGCTCGTTGGCTCACATAGGTTCCATTACTACTCGAGCTGGAAAACGACTTCGCAGAACTCGCCTTCTATAGGGTAAATAGTTTCTGAGTAGTATTAAAAAGCTGCACTAATACCAAAAGCGTGATGTGGTTGGCAAACAACATTAAGTCTCAAATACCTTCTCCCTTGGCTTAGCTGAAAACATGGACTTTCAGTCTTTGGCTTGGCATGGTGGCGTCTGAACCGGAGTTTTCTCTATTAGCCGCTTGAAAACACTTTGTCAAAAATACTCACGTGGCGCAACATTGATTTTGCCACCAACATTAGAAAATTCACACACTATTTGAACGAACAGGTGGATGAATGCCAACGTATTAGCCTGTAAGTCAGTGGTTTAACTGTTCCCTGTAAACACCCTTGTTTTTCACTCATGATACGCATGAATAAACTTCTCTAGTAGCAATCATTTCCTACTCTGTTTTGCTCAGTTTTCAAAAGCTACAATTATTCATGCCACTTATGGGTGTTTTGTCGCCCCAATTTCCTCAATGCACACAGTGGACTCATAAGGGGTATGAACCAATCATAACGATCGATCGATTGGGACGCTGGGGACTGTATACTAGAACGGCGGTGCAGGTCCACTGTGCTCAAATCTCGGGATGAAAGTGAGCGGTGTACGTCTCCATTGTCTGGTCCTGCTCCTGGCACTCTTCATCTTCGTTGCGGAAGTGTACGTTCCATTCTCCGCTATTTATGTCTATTTTAATGCTCGTAAATGTGAAAATGAGAGCATTTCCCAAGTAATCCTCGAAGGTACTACGACTGTGGCGGTGGTTGTGTCGTGGAAGGTGCGAGCGAGGAACGTTGGCGTGGAGCCGTCATTCTCAGCGTTGTTTGCATTGGGCCGCTTTTTTTTCAAGTTGGGGTTATTAGTGAAGATGCAATGACTGCAGCAAATGGCAAACACTTCTTCGAATTACAGGCAGGCAGTGGGCATCTGTGACTGGGACATGCGCACTTACACGACGCAGAAGGGCTCAGTCCACCTCAGGACAGTCCGCAGTGGGAGATATGGGGTGAGCAACAATTTCAAACCTTAAAACTTGCAATAGTGTTGGCCTTTTCTGCCCTGTCACATGAAATCTTGCTTTTCGGCCTTTTTGACAGCGTGGATACATTGGTGAAGTGCCGTTTGCTGGAAAGTGGTTTAGCCGGACCACGTGTTACCTTGGTGATGTGGAATTCCGATGCGTGTACGCTGACGGTACGTTCCACGAGCTGCAGTTTGCCGATATTGGCTGAAGAACTTGTCCATCGGCTGCACGAGGAAAAATAACCGCGGTGTTTTTATAAATTTCCACTGACCATATAGATGGCGAAATTTTGGGAACGAATATGACGGTGCCAAACATCACAAATGTTGACACGATATTCATTGACAGCACCTACCCTGTGACAGTCCACAGAATCGAAACCCACGTTCAGGACAAATCCTTTCCAGGTTGGTCTCTCAGTTATTGAGACCCTTCTTCAACCGCACCTTATTCTGAGCAGTTTTTCTCAACATTCTTGCTTCACATGCGCGTTTCCCTGGCTTTTCATTGGGGACTGACATGCTTGCTGAAATCTTCAACCCCTTTAGATCGTTTCGTAGTTGACGAGGACATGCATCTGACAAAGTGTCCCAAGTACAAGCAGACGACATTGGTTTGGAAATTTCCCGGGACGGTGCAGACGAGAGGAGCAGTAAGTGGTTTTCTGTTGATTAAATCAAAGCTGGGTGGTTGGATTGAAACAGTCCTGCCGGCCACCTGTGCTACTTGGTGGATGGAGCAAGTGTGTGTTTGGGTGGGCTGAACGACAGTGGCGAAATGCCTCACTGTGTGCGGCAGACGGCAAGGAGATTTGTCGTGCTTTAAATCCTTTAGTTATTTTTCTTCCGACGGAATGGTATTGCAATAAACTAGGCTGCTTAGTGTAGCGCGCACGAGCATTACATGTCAGTGGATTCACATTCAGAGAAGTGGTGTGGAGGAGGAGGCGGAGGAGGAGCAGGAGCAGGAGGCAAAAGAGGTAGGGTTAAGTGGCAGGTTGAGGAGGGGGAGGAGGATGAGGATAAGTGGGGCGGACGGCAGAGTGTACCGCAGAATGAGGGAGAGGAGTAGGAGGGGGAAGAGGTTGGGGGAGATAAGTATAGGAAGAGAAAGAGAATGGGGGATTGGGATGTGTAGCCCAAAGTCCGTCAAACCAGTCGGCTCTCCGAAATTGTCTTGTGAGCCGAATAAGCATAGGGGGAGGACGTTTATGATGGGTATGAGAGCGCAGTTGATGGAGAGAGGAAGTTAAGTAGGAGAGGAGGGTGGATGAGAGGGGGCAGTAGGAGGAGGAGGAGTACGTTGAGTAGGAGATTAGCATGGGTGGTCTCAAGCCGACCCAACTTTTTGGTTCCCCTGACTAGTTTCGTGAGTACAATAAGTACAGAATTTATTTCTTCTCCCCTAGTTCGAATGCTTTCGAGGTGATGTGAGGCTGTGCAGAGGAACAACAATAAAGAACGAGACCGGCAAATGTGGTGAGTTAAGTAAATTTCACCGCAGACCTCTTTTGCACTGCTATAGACATAACTGCCTACTGTCATGCATATTAGTATGGATATCAGAATAGAATTATTTTTTGTATGCCTCTTACTGGATCCCAAAGGCAAAAGTTCAGTATGTCTTGTTTTCTTCCCAGTGGTGACCGTTGTAGGCCAGAACCTCATTCACACTCTGACTGTGAAGGAGCCCAGAGGTGAAGTCGAATTTTTCTACTGTCGTCTCAGTCCAGCCACCCCGTATCGTGCACTGACATATAACGTTGATTGGCGATGTAAGTACTTGCAATCATCACTCCTCCTATTTAATCTAGAAATGTTTAGATATGTGGAAACGTAAAATTCCACACGGACTTTGTTGCATATGGAAGTCCAATAGGTGTGCCAACGCATAAAATATGCGTATT